ATGAATCATGGAGACTTGGCTGGTTGCATGAAATCGTACACCGCGTTGACTGCATTGGTCACAGACACATGCATGTGACGTTGCATATATGATTATTTGCATTTTCCTCTATGCGAGGGATCGGTGTAGGCTCTCGACAACATCAAGTAGTTACTTTGCGGTATAAACAACTAGTTATTCCCTACAGATATATATAGTCAGTACGTAGTAGTGTTGGTGTTGCCTCTAACCCAAGCTAGGCTAAGGATGCTACCTCTTTCCCTTCGTCTCTAGACTAAGGCTTACATGGCCAGGATCACCTGACACGGATTAAGTCATATATATAAACAACAGTAATTAATGCACAGTTCATTCGGGATGGCTGACAGTAAATGTACAATAAAATGGTGATGACTATTAACTACGGGGATTAGCAGCTTATGAATAATGGCAATTAACGGATTCAAGACATGTCATGGCTTTGGAATTAAATGTTCATTCAGAAAAAGGTTATCCTGTATCGGTCGCTATGACAGAATCTCAATTGCGTGGACCAATGTTCGTGATGTCGATCACTCGATTGTCTGGTCCCGAGTGGATTGTTTACAGGCCGCTGTCATATAGATGGAATATTGCTGAGAGCGGCGTTGGACAACAAACAAAACAATAGACTTACACTCTCAAAACATATCGGTAAGAACAGTGTTAGTACCGGATGTTTACACTACATTGCATTACTACGTCTTCAGACATGCTTCCCCATTTATTCCCTATGATTTCTTTCAAAACGAACATTTGTAAAAATTGTCCTCAGGTATTGCCGTGGTTGTAAGCAGACATATATGAAATCACGGCCGCATTATTGCATTGATAATATTAATATAAAGCATCCGTTATAAACCAACCCATCAACACGCCGGGTCACAATATTACGTTTCAGTATTGGCCTGGGCACTCGATCAATTAAGTTAAGGCTTACGTTTTGTTTGTTTGTTTGTTTATTTGTCGTTTAAACCCGCACTCAGCAATATTCCAGCTATAAGACGGCGGTCTGTTGTTCACAGTTGTAGGGAGGAAAACTTATTTCAGCCAATGCTCATAATCATTGCGAATCCACGATCATGGGATCGTGGTACATGTAAGGGGAGCAACTGCCCATCCAACCACACGTGCCCCGCACCCCCACCCCACCAACCACCCCACCCCCAACACACACCCAAAAATGCCTACGAATCTACAGTGTATCACCCGTCGAGATACATGTGGTACTTAATATATACTTAATAATAATACTTAAATATATGTAAGTCTTATATAGACTTATTGTTTGTATTCAAATTGCTTGTATTTGTGTGTATATACTAATGACTATGCATTGACATAGAACTACATCCCGACGGGTTGGAATGAGTGTGTGAGTTGGGTTTTAACCCGCTTTTGGCAATGGTCCGACAATTTCACGGCTTGGGACACCAGAAAGCTTCACACATATCCACATGGGGATTCGAACAGGGGCTTTCGGCGCGACGAGCGAATACTTTAACCCCTTGGCTACCCCGCCGCCCCCGTTGGATGGGCACATCTAGAATATCCTCGGGGAAAAAAATCAATTTTGTAGATTTGCCCCCGAGTTGCGTGTCATGGTCAATAAACTTCGTCGGTCTACACTCACTATAGTATACGTGACCAGAGCCGTCAAATATTGGGTTGATAGTGTGAGAATTCACACCTTCCGGGTACGACGACCAACCAGGTGACATCCTCCGACGTAGTGACAAATCTTGTATAACATTATTGAACCGCACTGGCTGATCCCCATTGTTCTCGAGTTTACGACATGTGTGGTCGTTTCAATACCGAGAACAAGCCTTACCTTGTCAAACACCGCAATTACTAGAATGAGAAACGCATGGAAGTCACAAGACACGAGAGAAAAAGACTACAGACAATCAAAGGGTTAAAAAGAGGGTTTATATTTTCAGCCAATAGAGAAATATCACTGACAAACGGGGGTATACATTTCAGGGTATAAGGGTTATATTTACCCGGGCCGCTGACCAAATGACACAGAGAAGGAGGTTTGGAAGCGAGGGGAAGCTAAGCAGTTGGATAACAAGGCCGAGACTCGCGTACCAGGGTTTAGATTCCAGCGGACAAACTATCGGAGTGGCCAGTCCAGGAGGGGGCCGGGATGCGAGGGGTGACGACTCGCTGAAGGGCTGGGGAGGGGACTGAGCGACTAATAACCGCTAATACGACACGAGAATGACGTCGAATGGTGTAGGTTTCAGGAAAGGAGATTAGCATGGCATCATCTGACTGTGAAGGGCTTTTGTTGTGATTGGCAATCCTAGTCAGCACGCTGGGATTAAATATTTCCTAGCGTCATATATCTATAAAGGTAATTACGGCTGACTTGTTGTGAGTGCTGCGGTTGTCTTGGAAACCAAACAAATAGGTGTTATGTTTCCGCGTTCTCGACACACTGTGGGGGACATTCGGGAAACTGATTTAATAAGGATATCGAGAGGTTACCTGATACAATTATCTTTCAGTTCTTATTCACATTAAAGACTATAACTATTGACATATAACCAAACCCTCTGCAAGAAATACAATAAATAAATCACTATGTTGGTTAATTTGAAACGGTAAGCAGAATGTAAGCAGGTGATTAAATTTTTTTCATGACATATCAGTAGGAAAGTGACAATAGCTGTATGTGAAGTGAGTTAAAATTTTAAAAATAAAATTTTAAATGTAACGTCGCATTGGCATTATTTCAGCCATATAGCGACGAAGCTGCTTGTTGAACGAATCATTTGAAGTGTAATGATAGTGTTCACGATTGACTTTCTTCCATAACGATTTAAGTATAGATGACATTTACATATATTTTCTTGTCAATGCGTTACAATATACTTGTATACACATAAAATAACAATGTTGAAAGACGTTTACTGGAAAGACTCCTATTTTGACTTGCTTCCTATACTTTAAAAACATCACTGTCATCTTGATTAACCAGGATGAGTTGGTGAATGTTGCTTAACGCCGCAGTCAGCACCACTACAGCTATATCAAGCCGGCCTGCACATATTAGAGTCTGAGTCAGGTAGTCCATGGCTGACAGCATGGGCGACATTCCGCGCCGTCAGACACGATGACATCCAATCTACAAGGTCACACACTAACCAAGCGATACCTATTAGTCGCCCCTTACCGTGTACTCAGGACTTAATCAGACACGTGGGGATTAACCATAGTCATTCGGTACATAATCAAACTGAGTACTCTGACCTTACAGGTTGGTTTATCGTTTAACGTCGCACTCAGCAATATGACTAAACAAACAGACAACCCAGTGATTGACACCATGAGCCTCGATCTACGCAAATGAGATATGATGGCATATATCAACCAAGTCAGCGAACCTGGCGAATGCCGCGCAGAGCCAACTTTTATATGTGGTCATACGTGTTTTCCAACTTGCCGATCCAACCTGTGTCATTTACATTCGTAATAAGGGGCACTTGTACTCCACTACCCCAAAGGGGCCATAACTATACCGATCGTTCAAAAACAGGCTAATTCGTTCACAATATAGGTTTGTTTATCTTTAACGCCACACTCACCAATATGACTAAACAATCGAGTCTGGAACAGACAATCCAGTGATTGACACCATGAGCCTCGATCTACGCAATTGGGATATGCTGGCATGCATCAACCAAGTCAGTGAACCTGGCCACCGGTAAAATTCTAAGACGGATCTTCACAGGCGACTCTGACCTTAACTTATGAAACGCACAAAATGTCTATCAGTATTGTGATATCACAGTCACTTTGAAGAAGCCTACTCTACGATGGAATATAGTGTGAGCGTGTGAGTTAGCTCAACGATTTGGTATTTAAAAAAACACCACTTAAATATTTTTAAGTTTAACGTTGGAAGCTTAAAGTGGCGCATCTCGGAGACGTTTACCACTTTGATGAAACCCACGATCATAAATCTGGGCGAATCTAGGATTCGAACCCAAGTTAAACCGACCACATCAAACTGCAGCACCTTTGCCGACTTGGTCGCCTGTCCTCTCGGTTGTAAAGAAGAACAGTTTCGACGCAGTTACATATCCATAATAAAAAGCAACACCGAGGTCGTGATTAATGAAACAGAGAACATAAAAAGCATTCATTTATATGCTGTGACATGGCTAACATTACCAAGTGACGCTCATACCTACATATTACCCCCACGGGAATGGAATTTTATCGATCGAGGCTTTAGTAAATCCTTTGTTCTTATCAAGACATGTCATTGTTAACACAGGCAGCTCTGAATTCATAGGTATTGACAGTCGTTTTCTAACCCTAACGTGATATCTGATACGTTACACCTGTCTGCAAATAACGTTACTCTTGTAACTTGACAGACATAACATAACAAACATACTAATAATTATTTACAGTCGCATGGATTTGAATTTGAAAACAAATAGTTATATTTAACGTATTGTTAAAAATTTGAAATTCCCTGTCCGACCTAAAACTATTTTAGAGTTATTACATTGCGGCTTTTAATCCTTGAACTAGAGAGATCAATGAATAGTTTCAAATAAGCTCCCAACCCCTCAACTTCCAGAGTCCCTTAATTTAATCTATTTAAGTTACAGATAATTGTTTTGCAGGTAAGTTCATTTTACACATAACTACTGAACTATTTCAAGGTTATTAAATCGGGGTTGTTTTATTCTGAACTAGAGCGATGAATGATTATTTTCAAAAAAGCTTCTAACCCTTCAACCTACGTAGTCCCTCAATTAAATCTGTTTTGTGGTAAGTTCATTTAAAACATAAATACTAAACGTTAAGAACATATCATACTATCAGACATACAATAACATTTCCCAACCATTAATTCCGTCACCATAACAACGCAGGGACGCAACCCATTGCGTTAATCAGAGCGACAAATCAATACTGTAGACATTTACAAACGTGACGAATTGTCGTCTGCCTACCTGATTAAATGGTCGCACGCGCACAGCCACCTTGACACTGTCACCGCCTCCACCTGGCATTTCTTGTAGAAGCCCGTGTATCCAAATTCAACTATCTAATTCCAATATACACAACTGCGCGCTCTCTGGACAAGTTCACTGCGCTTTGATTTACGTTAACTGAACATTTTGTCTGATATCTCCGGGTCGTGACCTCCGACAACAGGTTGATAAGCCAATCAGTGCCCGCTCTTTTATGACGTAACCCGCCAGGATGGTTTGTGCTATAAATAGACTGCCATGTGCGTTCCATGGAGTGTGTTTATTTGTTTACGGTCATTTGTAACAGATTAAGGAATGGTTTATTTCGCAAGACCGGTTGTTTGTTTCCAAGCTGTAATAGGCGTTGACGTTAGTTTCATACAAATACGAATCTTTAAATACTAGTAAGGGGATTGTTCAGCTTGATCTCACAATTATTATTTAATACGTCTTGAGCTAAATACTCCCGATTATAACGGAACGACAGTAGGCGCCTTTTGCTCAGCGAGTATTATAATCTTCAAAATCACAAATCCATGCAATAATCTTTGAACCAATAGGCACATGTTGGTCAAAAGCCGTCAAACTACAAAGCTGCACACTAAACGTATATTTGACTCAAATACAATTTCAACTGTTGTACCAGACCAATATTACATTTTGTAATGAGAAAATCTTCATAAAAACTTCTTCAAGTACACACAACCGTAGCATAATTTAGTACATATCAAAATGCTGTGCTTTGATGGAAACGTTTGAAGCACATGTATTTCAATGACCCGGTGTCGACAACAAACTGCGTATATTAGCAGGGCGTAGATGTCAAACACCCATTAATAGTTTTACAGCTCCGGTGTAGCGGGTCACGTGACATGTTGGAGTGGGGGCATGTAAGGGTGTTCGGTGTACGTCAAAACGCGTTTCCGCGATCAGTCAGTTTCATGCTTAGTGCAAATATTTAATGTCCACTTAAATTTACCCCTGCACCCTTATTCCGGCGTTTGTAGCGATTTATGGTAAGTGTAAATGTCCTCATTTGCGTGCCGTGGTAGATTTGTAGTGTGGATCACCAGCTAATAGGCAACAACGATTGAAAACAATCCTTATGACGTGATGTGTGTGTAAAAGTTTCAAAGTCGGTGTTTTCTTATACTCTTGCCAATGTACTTGTAATGTTTATGTTTACTGTTTACACTGGTGATAATGCGCACGGTTATGCGATTATTTCAAACCAAACTAATTGACCTTTGTTTTGTTCAGTGTTCCCCTTTGGTTGGTTGTTGTTTAACGCCGCGCTCAGCTAAATTGGAGCTAAATGACGTCGGTCTGTAAATAATCGAGTGTGGATTCATTCCACCATGGCGGCCATATTGAATTAATTTTGGTGGCCCCATATTTGGAATGCCATTACCTACAACTGTATCAAGTTTCATGCTTTTAATGTATTCCCTGTATAAATTCACGTGTCAGACAATAATAGTCATTTGTTTTAGGGGGTGATTATTGCTTAACGCTTCATCAGAACTTTTACCCAATATTTACAACCTAATTATACTACCAATATAACAGCTAGAATATGGCCAAAAAACTAAGAAATGACTCGTCCAGATTAAAAATACAATTTTTTATATTGAAGGTGAAAAGGGGATAAGGTGTTCAAACAGGTTGTATTCTTATAAGGATAGGGGCGGTCGGGTAGCCTAGAGGTGAAGCGTTCGCTTGTTGCGCCGATGACCCGGGTTCGCCGATTCCCGACATGGGTACAATGTGTGAAGCCCATTTCTGGTGTCCCCCGCCGTGATATTGCTGGAATATTGCCAAAAGCGGCTTAAAGCCATACTCACTCACTCTTATAAGGACAAGTAGCTAATATTCAACACACATTGGGATACATTAAAAAGACATGTAGTCTGTTGTATGACTAAACTCGCACACTTTCTACCCTCGGAATGTTCATATTCTGGGATGGCCACTAGAGGAACAAACGGGGTTTTTAACTTTAGCAATACGCGGTTATGATTATCCTAGACTAACATATAGTCTCTGAAGTAAAATAATCAGGTGAAATTAAATTTAGTATTCAGGAACCCCCCCACCCCTCCCCCAAGTCTCCTACTTTTCGAGTACTGAGACTGAGTATAGACTTCTGAGGTGAAGAGGGGTATGTAAGAGAGATAACTCGGATTAGCCTAGACTAACATTTAGTCCCTGAAATATAGTTGTCTTATCTAAAAATACATTTCTACAAAATCAAATCGAAATGTAGCACAGAACAATGCTAAATTTCAGGAGCTGGGGCAATCTAGACTTGCCAAATCATTCTAGAATTGAATTGGATCCCTTGCTTAATATATTCTCTAGGGTCTGGGAGACGGACTAGGGTTAACGCTGACACTAATAATGACGCCGCACAGAGCCAACTTTTATATGTGATCATGTTCCAACCTATGTGTCATTTTCATTCGTAATTAGGAACACTTGTACTCTACCCCCAAGGGGCAATAATTACACCGATTGTTCAAAAACAGGCTAATTCGCTCACAGTAAAGGACCGACCATTTGATATTCTGGGCAGGGGGGATTTTGTATCGAGATCAGTTATGTTTTTAGCTACAGCTACAAAATCTGATATTTGTTTATTTAAAACCATGAGCTTGATTTAAAAGAAAGAAAGACACCTTGCTACAATGATTTTTTTGTGGCAGGCAATTTCTTTTTATTCAACAGTCTGAAACATAAATATTTTTAATGGTGCGTCCATAAACATCAAGGTAATTCATGAGGTTTTCAAGAACACCAGACCGATCTTTAGGAAAACTTGAACCATGTCATGATTGCGTTCTTCGTTGCAGTATATTCAGGCACAAATAATGACCCCAAGGCAAAGAAATGAATCAGATAAGGAAAGGACAAAAAGACAACTGATTAACTGTGTGTGACAGAGCAACAGACACTGAAAGGTCGTCCTTTTCATTTTGCAGTATGACAAGGCAAATTTATATGTTGGCATGTCTCGTGACTGAACACGAGATCATAAAATACCAGTGAGATTTCAGTTCTTGAGGGTGAAACTTGTTATATGCCGTAGTGAACAATATACCATCTCTATCAGAGTCGCTGACTTGGTTGATAGCGTGTCATCATAACCCGATGGCGTGGATTGCTTTCACGATATCAATCACTGGATTATCTTGTCAAGATTCGATTATTTACAGCCCGCCATCATATAGCTGGAATATTCCTGAGTGCGGCGTTAAACAACAAACAAACAAATAAATCCACAAAGTGAAACTCCCACACCCGAACATAGACTTGGATAGTCGTAGAGGCAAGATCCCTTTATGGAACGAGATTCTAAGAATTTTGTTCAACTTTAAAAATGAATGTCGTATGAATGTCGTTTAGTATATAGAATGGATTGGGATTCCACGGGGATTGACGGGGCGACGCTGCTCACTGGCGACACGTATTTGAGAGAAAAGAAGTCATTTTTATTTGTTTTTTTTAATTATACCTTTTAATTGTGTAGTGCTATGGTCGTTGTATACCCATTCATGTCTTGTTACATTTCATGTTAGCTTGTATCTGTGTCTATTTATTTCGTGTATCAATGAGACTTTCTTAAATGTAAACCAAATTCCCAAATTGGGTATGTGGTATTATTTCATCTTATATACCACTGGTCCTGGGTCCAGGGTCTTGGTGATGTCTTGGTGATGCCTTTCTTAAATGTAAACCAAATTCCCAAATTGGGTATATAGTAGTATTTCATCTTATATACCACTGGTCCTGGGTCCAGTCTTGGGTCCTGGGTCTTGGTGACGCCTTTCTTAAATGTAAACCAAATTCCCAAATTGGGTATATAGTAGTATTTCATCTTATATACCACTGGTCCTGGGTCCAGTCTTGGGCCCTGGGTCTTGATGATGTCTTGGTGATGCCTTTCTTAAATGTTAACCAAATTCCCAAATTGGGTATGTGGTATTATTTCATCTTATATACCACTGGTCCTGGGTCAACAAAAATACACATCCGTCATAAGAACAGCTTGGTGATGTCTGGTGACAATAAATAACATATGTCTTGTACATTCTTTAACTATGTCTTATGAACCAGCAAATATACGACTATATGCGAAAGCTAAAAGTTCATGTCAGTGTCACTTGAATATTTAACTGAAGGTTGAAGTTTGCATTTTACAATTGATTGTTAGATATGCCATTTGATGTTTGCTTTTCCAAAGCTGAATTAAGTATTTGCGGACGATGTTGCATCGATTGTAAACATTAAGGCCTCACTTGAGGTTGGTTTTGTAGTATCAGCTGCACAGCATCCAATATTAGAAGCACATTTATCAGACGAATTCACACATTCAAACAAATGATTTCCCCCCAATACATTCATGCTCCATTTCGTCCTACACAAGTACATTTGACGGGCGCTTCTTTTACTTTCCTTTCCATTTGATAGTTTCAAGTTAACCGATTTTGAGTTTGCGAGTCGTGTCATGCGGCTTTGAACAATACATCAGTTGTATCAAGGCGTGTCCGCTCATGTAGGAGGAACGCCCGACGCGAAGCAGGTCATTGAAGTTTATAAAAAACAACAACACAACTCTCAGAGCGTGTATGTGATGCCGTCGATGCGATCACAGCCTGGCAGCGTCGTATCATGGTCCAAATAAGTGTCTGGTTGGTTGCCAAGGGAAAATTGGTCCTCTCTTCAGTAAGTGCATTGATGAGTTCAGTAGTTGTCGGAAGGACGGGCGTGATCTGTTGTTTTCTGGTGACCGGACTGAAAACTCCATGCAGAGTGGTCTCTGGTATACTGGTCATGATTGGCTACGTTGGAATCCTTAAATCTACGATTGGGTTGACAATATCTCGATTCATCAGTGAATAGTACTGGAGCCTAGTCCTGGTCTGTCCAAATGACATGATCTGAAGCCCAATCCAAACGTGTCTGCCTGTGAGTGAGTGAGTTGGGTTTAACGCCGCTTTTAACAGTATTCCAGCTTTATCACGGCGTGTCAGCTTAATGTGGGAGGAAAGCCTGTCTGCCTGTGATGTCGGGTCATATGGATGAGAATGCATGCCCTTTGTGACTGATAATCAGCTTTGTGGACGATTACGCACTGTCCCCCAGGTCATTTCTGAGT